TGGATACATTATCCTCTATCATAAATGATTATGTTAGAAGATCTCATATTTTCAAGTTCCACTGGAGATGTGGACCCTTGAAGATCACACACCTTTCATATGCTAATGATCTCATGTTTTCTGTCATGGAGATATCACATCTGTTTCAGTGCTGAAATTAGGCCTTGATCATTTCTGTTGTATGTCTGGATTGGATATTAACTTCTCTAAAAGCAGTATATATTTCTCTGGAACTGATCCTCATACAGAAGCTGCAATCACATCCTTACTTGGCATAGGGATTGGATCCCTCCCAGTAAAGTATCTTGGGGTTCCTCTCATTTCTACTAACCTCAAATCATCTCATTGCAGCCAACTTATTGAGAAGATCACAAATAAAATCTCACATTGGTCTTTGAGATCTCTTTCTTATGCAGGTAGACTCCAACTTATAAAGGCAGTTCTAGTTTCAACTCAAGTATATTGGTCAAGTATCTTTATTCTCCCCAAAGTAGTTATCAACGAGCTCAATCAAATTTTCAGAGCATTCCTGTGGTCAGGGCCTAAAATGAAGACTAACAAAGCCAAAGTGAATTAGAATAAAGTCTGCCTGCCAAAAGAACAAGGAGGTCTTGGCATTCCAAATTTGGAGCTGTCAAACAAAGTTGGCATTCTAAGGTACATTTGGGACCTTCACTCTAATGATTCTGGAAGAATTTGGATCACTTGGTGTATAATTCACCTCATTAAAGCAAGAAATTTTTGGACAATCAACTTTCCACATCCCTGCTCATGGAGTTAGAGGAGAATTCTGCAGCTCAGACATCTTGCTAGATTACTTCTTAAGCACAAAGTTGGCAATGGCTTAGAGACTTCCTTCTGGTTTGACAACTGGTCCATAGGAGGTCCTCTTTGTTCTCGCTTTCCATAAAATATTCTCACCAATGCAGGCTTCAATAAATCAATTATAGTGGCCACATTTATTCAAAACTCATCTTGGTCATTCTCCTCATGCCTCACTTTTGCAATCCCAGAGCTTCTAATTTTACATCCACCTTGTTCTTCAAGAAGTGATAGCAAACATTGGATAACATCTCTAACTGGCAAGTTTAGCTTCAAGCATACAACATCATACCTCTCAGAGCACTCTCCAGTTGTTCAGTGGCACAACTTAGTCTGGATATCCCCCACAATCCCTCGAATGAAGTTTAATCTTTAGCTTGCAATTCAGTCCAAGCTACCTACTCTAGACAGTAGATCCATGTCTAACCATGTTAACATTTGTATTCTATGCAATTCCTAACCTGAATCTCACCAACACTTATTCCTCACTTGCTGTTTTGTCTCCCCTATTTGGTGCTACATCAAAATCAAATGCCAATTCTTCACTGCGGTTACAAATTGGGATGACTTGATTCACCTGCTATCTGTTCACTGGAAGCGTAACTTTCCAGCAAATCTCCTTCGCAAATTATGCTTCTCATCAATGGTCTACCACACAAGGGAAGAACGGAATGATCGAATCTTCAAAGGGAAATCTTCTACCCAAAGGATGGTTCTCTCAAGAATCACTTCCACCATCACTGCTATTCTCAAATTGGGATTCCTTCGTGATTGCTCCTACTCGAGGCAAATTCTCATCAATTGGAATCTTCCTCCCAATTGTTGTCGTCCTCCAACTAGACCACCGGACTGAAGATTGCTTGTGTCTTCCAGCGTCCTCCTCTAAGGTTCAAACCGGATTGTCCTCTAATAACTTCCATTAATGGCCAAACAGGTCGTTAATTGCTGTTATTAGATTAAAAAATTGGTCCTGGGCTCTCTTCAATTGGGCCTCCATTTAGGCTTGTTCCCTTTTGGGTTGTATTTGGCCAAAAGGCCCACCATTGTAATTATCCTTTTTTTTTTTCTTTTTATATATTTGCTTAAAATTCCAAAAAAAAAAAAAAAAAAAAAAAAAAAAGAAAAGTTCATTTGATTCGTAAGTGTTTTATGTACATAGTAGTGTTTTTTTTTACAATGTACATATAGTGTCGAAGGACCACATAATTGATGTACCTTCGTGGAATTGAGGTAAAAAATAAAATAATCAACCCTTTAGTGCCAGAAAGAGACTTTTTTATACATACTCGTGTATAGAAGTCTGCGGTGCCGGCCAGACCAAGGAATAGGTAGCATTATTGTATGGCCCATCCCTCTTTCCTTGGCATCAAGTGATCGTAGGTTCATTGCAATGACTTAATGAATGCATTTATATTTACAAAGAAATATGTGTATATGTTGTGAATACTACATATTTTCAACAACACCATGGCTGCAAGAACTTTTCTTAGTTTTGTTGTTTGTCTCGTTTTTCTTCTAACGTGATTATTGTTAGGGATGGGGAATAATAGTAATATTATTAAACTTAACTCTGCCAAGTGCATCGAGAGGGAGCGGAAAGCACCCTTCAACTTCAAACGTGGTCTCAAAGATCCTTCCGCTAGACTTTCTTCTTGGAAGGGTGTCGATTGCTGTCAATGGAGTGGCTTTCGATGCAACAACGTATCGGGCCATGTCGTCAAGCTCGACCTCAGAAACCCATTTCCAGTATCCAGCGTTTGGGATTATTCTTCAATGGATTCCGAGGAAAAGATGGCCTATGTATCCAATTACCAAAGGTCGTGTTTGAAAGGTAAGATACATTCTTCTTTGCTTCAGTTGAAATATTTGAACTATTTGGACTTGAGCTTCAATTATTTTGAAGGAATTCGAATTCCTAAATTCTTGGGTATGTTTGAGAACTTGAGATATCTCAATCTCTCTTCTTCATTGTTTGGCGGAGAGATTTCACCACATCTTGGAAACCTATCCAGCTTGAATTATATTCATCTTGGTATGGCTAATTCAGCAAGGCTCTACACGGATGGTGCCGAAACACGCACTGCAAATTTGAAATGGCTCAGGGCTCTCTCCTTTGAAATACCTTTACATGGAAAATGTGGAAATCAGGGACACTAATTGGTTTAAATCAATTAATAGGCTTCCTAACCTCGTCGAGTTACACATTCCTGCGTGTTCTCTACCGAGCATTCCACACTCACTTCCATTTGTTGTTAACTTGACATTGCTTTCAGTCTTTGACATCTCTTTAAATGGGTTTGGCCCCTCAATTCCAAGCTGGCTCTCCAATCTCACAAGCCTCACCAAACTTGATCTCAGTGACAATTCGTTCAGTAGATCCATTCCGAGTGAATTCTTTGTCAACTTTAAGTCTTCGGAAGCCCTTGATTTGTCTTACAATGATTTTGAAGGTCAAATACCAATATTTTTGGGGAATATTTGCAAGTTTAAAATCTTAGGCTTTTCTGCAAACAATTTCAACAGTGGGGTGGTTGAGTTTTTTGGCGCATTCTCGGGTTGTCCAACCAATGGCCTAGTGTCACTAAATTTGGAGTTGAACTCTTGTGAAGGGGAACTGCCCGATTCAATAGGAATGCTTAAGAATCTTCAATATCTTTACCTCGTGAGAACTCTTTCTGGGGTTCAATCCCAAAATCAATTGGAAATTTGTCATCCTTACAAGTATTGGACCTCTCCGCCAATAAATTGAATGGAATCATTCCTGAAAGTTTTGGACGACTCTCTAAACTCATACACAAGACAATTCACGGGCCGGTGTTATAACTGAAGCCCAGTTGATGAATCTTAGAAGAGTAGAATATTTATCAATGAGAAGAGACGAAGTCGGGTTATTGGTTTTCAATGTGACATATGAATGGGTACCCCCTTTCAAGCTCAAATTTCTTGAACCAGACAACTATCTAGTGGGACCTAGATTTCCGGTGTGGCTTCAAGTCCAAAGTGAGCTCACTGATGTGTCTCTTAAAAATGTTGGGATTGCAGATACCATATCTGAGGAATGGTTTTCCAAGATATCTTCTCGACTCACTTATTTGGATCTATCTGAGAACCAAATCAAAGCAAAGCTTCCGTACCATTTAGAATCTCCGAATCTAGCGTGGATTGACCTGAGTGATAATTGTTTTCATGGTTCCTTCCCTTTATCGTCCACTAATGCATTTGTACTTTCTTTTTACAACAACTCATTTTCTGGACCGATTCCATCAAATATTGGTGAATTGATGCCGAGAATCATTTCAATGGTACAATTCCATCATCGATGTGTACAATGGTGTATTTGAAAGGACTCAACCTTCAGACCAATCAACTTTTTGGAGAGCTCCCTCAGTGTTGGAATGAATCACAAATGTTATTCTTCATAGATATGGCAAACAATATGCTCTCAGGTAATATTCCGAGCTCATTTGGTTCCTTGACTAACCTTAATGCATTTGTGTTGAGCAACAATGTTACGTGGGAAAATTCCTCCATCCTTGCAAAACTGCAAGTTGAAGATGATTGACTTTGGAGGAAACAAATTATCAGGACAACCAGGCACGGACCCAGCAGGTGACCAGGGGGCAGATGCCCCCCTGGATTTTTAATATTTTTATTTTATACTCTAATTTTTTAAAATTTTATGAAAATGTCCCCTCTAAAATTACAATTTGCCCCCATTGGATTCTTTTTTTTAGCATTTTATACATCAAATTTTGATAATTTATGAAGATGCCCCCACTAGAATTATAATTTGCCCCACTGATTTTTTTTTTTTCATTTTATACTTTAAAATTTTTAAAATTTATTATAAAAACCTATTAAAATTACAAAAATGAACCCATCATATAATTTTGTACCCACAAATTAAAAAACCGCCCACCCCTCACAAAATTTTCTGGGTCCGTCACTGAGGACAACTACCTTTGTGGTTAAGTGGAGAAAATGGCATCGAGTTAAAACTGCTACGTTTGCGATCTAACTCATTCAACAGATATATCCCTCGACAATAGTGCCATCTTACAAATCTTCACATCCTAGATCTTGCACACAATAATCTTTCGGGGGTTATTCCCAGTTGTTTGGGGAATTCAACAAACCTAATTTATGATAACAGCAGTAGTGAATTCGTGCATGAGGACATGCAAATGACTGTGGTGGCAAAAGGAAGAGAGCTCACATATGGTGAAAATCTTGTATATGTCAACAGCATTGATCTTTCAGCAAATAACCTAGTTGGTGAAATTCCTGAAGAGATAACAAGCCTTGTTGCACTTGGTACATTAAATCTTTCAATGAATCATATATCCGGACGCATACCAGCGGACATTGGAAATTTGCGGTTGTTGGAAACCTTGGATTTTTCAAACAATAATCTCTCGGGTTCGATTCCTCAAAGTTTGTCTTCATTAATTTTCTTGGCTCACTTGAACTTGTCTCACAACAACGTGTTGGGGAAAGTTCCAACTGGAAATCAGCTCCAAACACTCAATGATCCGTCTATTTATGAAGGTAACCCTCTTCTGTGTGGACTCCCTCTTACAACCAAGTGCCCCAGTGAGGATACATCTAATGCGCCTCCTCTCAATGGAGGAGGCCAGGATGACAGTGACATTGAAAATGACCTTGATATGACATGGTTCTATATTAGCATGGGACCTGGATTTGTTGTTGGATTTTGGGGTGTGTTTGGTTCCTTGTTGATAAAGAAATCTTGGAGGCTTGCCTACTTTCAATTCTTGGAGAACATGACAAAAAGGATAGCTCTTGTGATTGCATTGGGAGTGGCTCGTTTGCGAAGAAGATAGTCTCCTTGAAAGGTTGATCTTGTTGATGAGAATGTCTGTAATCTATTTGTTTCCAAGTGAAACATAGTAACTGGTGTCATCTGTGTAAGCGTGTGTGCGTGTGCGCGCAGACAAGTGCAGTGCATGCTTTGTGATTTGCTTTGTTCGTTTTCTTCTATTTTTGGGATGATATGTAAGCATGTGTGCAATAATATATCGTCATGGACTATAATTCCATCACATTAGCATTTCAATTATCAATTTGTAGTTTTGCAAACTGCTGCATTACCAATTTGTAGTTTTGAAAATTACATCTATAATGCAATAGCAATATAAAGAGCCAAACAGCTAGTTTCCAGAGAAAACATACTATTGGGGCATTTGAAGGAATTAGCAATTAGCGTCCATTCTAGTGCATCCTAACTGTTCGCTGAAGAGGTGGATGTCCAGAAATACAGAGGTTTCATTTGTTCAACCAAAACACAAAAGTGACTGAGAAATACAGAGGTTTCATTAGTTATCGAGTGCGAAATTAATATTAACTACGAAGTCTCCACAACAAACAGAAATCTTTATTTGTTTGGCATTAAATGAAAAATATATAAATACCTACAGTAATTTTTTTTTATTTCAATAAAATTAAAAGAAGCAAAATTAGAACAAGTCCTTTACTATCCACCCCAATTGTCACTAAACTGCTATACAATTAGCCCAAATGCACACAAAAATTATTTATTGTAGGTGCAAAAATTTGTAGGGAAGAAAAGTCAAATAAACAAATGCACACAAAAATACTTAATAAGTCAAGAACTGGCCTCTGAATACATAAAGTGATGTTATATATTGCTTTTTCTATATTTTACAAACATTCTTTTTCTACTACTTCAACGGGTATTTATTTTTCATATTCAATTGGAACTGTGGATATAGATTCATTACAAAAAAAAAATTTATATCAGTTCTCCAACGATTTTCTAAATATTCTGGGAATCTTCATTGAAACCGGCTAGAAAGGAAAAGAAACAGAAAAAATTCAATTTGTTTTAGAAGTTTGGTTAGCCAAAAACTGTTTTTTTTTTTTTTTTTTTTTTTTTTTTTTTTTTTTTTTTTTTTTTATGAAAATAGAATTCCTGCATAGGGAGAATTTTTTCTCCAAAATATATTACTGGCACGGCAAAAGTGTCTTTTATATCTCAGTTTCTTATTCAACCCCAAGTCCTCAGTTTCTCCATTCTCGCTCTTCTTTTCACATACTTCACTAAACAAGTGAGTTTTGTTCTTTTAATTATAAATTGTTGAGTTTATATGGTCATGAAGTACTAATTCAATTATTTATATTTTTATATGTTACTACACAATATTGATTTTATTTTATTTTTTTCCCATTCTTCAAGGTTATAATTGTTGAGAAGCATAAAGCCCGGTTCCTATTCATCAAGGGTGTTGAGAGGGACAAATTGGATGTAGACCAAAATATAAATAATTTAGATATAAATATAAATAATTATATTATTATTTTTAATAATCCTTGTTAACGAAAAAAAATTATATATAATAATTCATATTTTACTATTTCTTTTCTAAAATAAACAATATTTGAGTATGTTGCTTTTCTTATTTATTTTATTTTATTTTAAAAAAATAACAACAACAACAACAGCAACAACAATTGAGTATAAAGAGTATTCATCTAACACAAATTTTTTTTTTTTATATTTTAAATTATAAGGGTATTTTGGTAAGTAGAATCATTTTCATTTTCTTTTTATGATATCCAAACTAACAAAATAATATTTTCTTACAACTTTCTTTAAAAACAAAAAAATTTACTAATCAAATGTATCATTCAAATTTAATTTTTCTTTCTTTCACTTTCACTGTTACTTTTTATTATAATTTTCCATCTAATTAAACGAACTCTAATAATTTTGAGTCTTTTGACATGTCTTTGCAAACAAAAAAAAGATTTTACGTAAAAAATTAATAATTTTTACTCTCGATCAAACGAGCTAATTAGCAACTATGCTTTCACAAAAACTTTGTCCAGCCATTAATAATGGTAGTGAGAATTTTTACTCTCAAACTCTTTTTGTTAAATAAGCTTACTATGTAGCTTTACAGTTGAAGAGGGGGTGCTCGGTTCCAGTGGTTAATCAGGAGGAAAGCAGTTCTGTAAGGGCCAAGGCAGTTTTTTGGTCTCGAATTTGGAAAATGATGGATAAGCCCAAAATTAAACATTTTATTTGGAGATGTTTTCATGACCGAGTTGCCGTTTCAGAATCAATTGGTCAGGAAAGGTATGTCCATGGATGGTCTTTGTAAAGTTTGTGGTATGGAGATAGAAACTTTAAAACACCAACTGTGCGATTGTCAATCAGCAAAATTAGTTTGGAAGGGTTTCTCGTATCGAATTGATGTATCTTCAGTTGGGGGGAGTACATGGGGCGAATGGTGGATGAACTTAATCCATTCGTGGGATGGATTGAAAGACAACAATATTTTAATTGGAATAGCTGCAAACTTATGTTGGTATTTATGGAAGTCTCGTAACGATTCTGTGTTTGGTAGAGCTGGTTGGTCTGGCCAGAAGATCATTGAAGTTGCTGTTGGGCAATTTTGGGAGTTTTACGGGGTTCATTCAAAAATCATTCAAGATCCCTATCAGTTTATTCCTATTCCCTCTCCTCTGCCAGTGCGTTGGTTGCCGCCGAATGTGGGTTGTTTAAGGGCTAACGTTGATGCAGCAGTTAACACCTTCTCTAATGAAGTTGCTGGTGGTCTGGTGATTAGAGACCACAAAGGGTTGGTAATTTTTGCTGCTATATTCTACTAGAAGTTTTTATCTGATCCCACAGTTGGGGAAGCATTTGTGTTGAGGCAGACAATGCTCAAGGTAAGGAAGCGATTGTTGTCACAGGTTATTTTTGAGTCTAATGCTAAACAAATGGTGGACATAGTTAATGGAACTCAGGTATGTCCAATCGCTTTGATGCAGTTGATTGAAGATGTCCAGATGTGGTTGAAGCATTCAAATAGGTTTGTTGTTAAGTTTGTTCCCAGGGATGCCAACATTGCTGTCCATAATCTAGCAAAGTATGCCAAGTCTAGGAAGGTCGATGCTGAGTTTTCTGATTTTTTTCCTCTTGTTTTGATGGATGTTGTAGTGGAGCAGTGTATTTGACTTGCTTATTAATATATTTTCTTGCCTTGAAAAAAAAAAAAAAACTCTTTTTATTTTCTACATTTTTGGAAACAAAGAAAATGCTTATCAAGGATTATGGAGTAGGTTGAATGCTTTTTTGTTTCAGCACTATATAGTGACCGGGTCAACTGGTCATGGTTTGCTGTAATATTTTATTGAGGCCCATATATTGTTTGATATTAAAGCGAAAATTTATTTATTTTATTTCATTATCACTGTTAAAATATTATTTATATTTATATTTCTTAAAAGTATTACTTGTATTTAGTCATGCCAGAAGGTACACACTACCGAATGTTGATTCAAGTGAGTCCATGTGATCCGGAAGGAATTGAGAAAATTGTTAAGAAGTCATTTTTACACGTAAAGTCACTTGAAAGAATTTCAAAGTCCTCTCTCCCCTAATTTACACACACTTGTCTTTTATAAGACTTGAACCCCTGATCTCCCTTTGGGAGATAAGAGGCGGATACCGCTAGGCCACTAGCCCGTTAGTAATACCAATATATATATATATATATATATATATATATATATATATATATATTAGTTGGTACTCACACACACTTGTCTCTTCTGAAATTCGAATCCCTGACCTCTTTTTAGAAGGTAAGAGACTGATACCGCTAAGCCATTGGCCCGTTAGTTTCAATACCACTAAATTATCTTCAAATTTTACACATTTAATATATACAATGTGTAAAAAAAAATTTATCTTTAGTATTATGTTAAAAGACCATTTTTGTGTAAAATATACACAATGTGTAAAACTTTTTTTTATCTCTAAAATTGTGTTAAACACTGTTAAAAATATATTGTCACTTCACCAACGTATAAAATTGTTGTATATTTTGCACAACCCTTTTACACAGCTACAATAACACATTTTTTCTCTCCTCCCTCTTTCCCAATCCATTAACGAATCAACCCTATGTTAAATAGGTTTGTAAAAATTATATGGAGTGATAGGCATGACACGTGATTGGTTGTTATTGACAGATATTTTTACACAAAATATATAAAATAATGGTTAAAGTTAAAAATAATTAGTCCAAAATTTTTGTGTAAATCTACCATGACACATCAAATTAATACAAAAATTTTGGACTAATTATTTTGGACAGAGCTGGTAAATAATGGATGAAAAAATTTATTAAAGAGTACAAAGACTTGGTGGATGTAATACCCCTGCTTTTAAAAGGATATTTTTGGTATTTACTTGAGTATTTATTTGCATTTGTTTTTAGTTATTTAATTGTTTTGTTACTTGAATTAATTGATTGGCTTAATTGTTTATTTGATTTAATTAATTATTTGAATTCTTTGGATTACTTGAATTAATTGGTTGGTTTAATTGTTTTTATTGGATTTAAGTAAATTATTTGAATTCTTTGACTTATTTAAATTAAATTAATTGCTTATTAATATGTAACTTGTTTTAATTACTTTAATTAGTTAATTAAGTCATTTAGTTAATTCACTGTGTATTGATCTTGTGTATCGTGACTTAGGGTTTTAGGTTTCAAGGTGTAACCGACTTATTAATTTAATTATTGAATACGTTTCATTCTTGGATTACAATTAGAATTAGGGTTTAGGGTTTATAAGTCTATAAATATACATGTATACGTTCTGCCAAGGGTTGAAAATAAAACCTTATTCCCGGAGTGAGAGGCAGAGAGAAACAGAGAGTAGGATTGGAGAGAAACACAGAGTAACCTTGGGTGATTAATAAAGCAGTTCAAAGAGGAAGGCATGTGGTTGTTTCTGGGTTAAACCAAAGCACTGGAGGAGTAGACTTGCAATTTAGGACACAAACGTATCATACAGAAATTGTGGAATTAGATTTTTAAATTTGAAACTCAAAGGCAAGTCTCTGTTCTTCTCTTTCCCATGAATCTGTGTTCTGTGCATGCTTAGTTAGACTCCAGGAATTAAACTAAGTTTTAATTACATCATTTGTGCATGTTAAATCAGTTTCTAGCATCATTGGATTATAATCTGTTTCTCAGTTTTTACAAGTTCAGTTTTTATATGTTTATCGTTGCTTTAAACATTGATCTGTAATTCAATTCATAGATGTATAACTTTGCTTTGTGATCAATCTGGAATGAGGATGGGACCTTAAAACATGTAATAGAACTGAATTTAAAGACTGGAAACCACCAGAGTCGGAGAAGACAACAGAAAACAGCTTACGGCTCTTAGGGGTAAGAGCAGGCTCTAAGAAGAGAGGGAGCCTGCTCCCAAATTGCTAGAGCTAGCTCTTTAGGGTTGAGAGCCAGCTCTCAACCATCTAGAGGTGGCTCCTAAGGAAGGGGAGCCGGCTCTCCTTGAATAGAGAAGGTTCTCTGAGTTTCAGAGCCTTCTTTTTCTCTTGTTATTGCATATACTGAGTTTTAATGGACTGTTTGGCTGTGACTGAGTTTCTGAAACTGTTTCAAAGCTATTGAATGATGTAATATACTGCTTAAGACTTATATAAAAATTAAGAAGCAAGCTTATAACCCGAAATTTAGGATGGAATTAGCCTATGGTTCAAAGTAAACCTGTAGGAGAAAGGGGTTGACATAAACTGGTAATGGCTTACTGTTTTGGGGGATTTAAGTTTCTCTGCATGACTTAGAATTATGAATCATGTTTTGCAGCTGAGTTATAAGCATTCTGTTATTTAATTATATGTATGCTTAGTTGGGATTAACTAACAATTAAATCTGTTATATATCTCATCTGTTACGACGATTTGGAGGAAGTAATTGCATAGTTGGATTCTGTCAATTTAAAGGACTGGGACTTGGTTCCTAAATCTATTATTGGATGCATGATTCAGTTTTACACATGTTAAATTGTATTTGTGCTTATTTTGGAATGTAGTTGATAATTATTTATGTTTTTTTTTTGTCAACTATGTTAACTATAGGATGGTATGCACCGGTATAGGACGGTGGCATACTAGGTATGGATTAGCTCAGACACTAAGCCTACCTAATCTGGATTGAGGTTCGGATTAACAATAAAAGTTAAGTCCGACTTCTGTTAGTGTCAAGTTAGTAAATAACTGAGTGGCATAATTGGATTTCTGGGATGAATTGTTATACCGATATCACGCCACTATATCAGATGGATGATATTTTGTATTAGGAGGACACGGATCTTATATATTTATGTTATGGTGTCATGGTATGAGCTTGAGTCTCATGACCATGGTTAGGGTGCGTATATCGCCTAGGATGGATAGCTGGACAGTAGTTGCTGTTCCTTGGTAGGTCTAGGTACACATGACCACGTAATGTGCGATTTGCATGGTATCTTTACTCAGGCTGAGACAGACCTATTGGACTAGTGAGCGTCCTATAGTGTGTAATATATACATATATGGACTACTTTAGATATTGTTGAGTCTATGTAAGATGTATCTGCGTATCGGATTTTTGTTTGTATCATAGTAGATCAGGACTTGCATGTGGGCCTGACCCAGCCTTTTATTATTTTCAGGTGCTCGTCAGTTCCAGGGTTAGAGCTTGGTCGTGAAGAGCTGATATAGATTTCCATTCCACCGACTACGTAGGACTGCTTACTTTTTAGCTTTGGATCGTACTTTAGTTATTTCGTTTACAGTTGGGATTTTTATTAGGGGTCCACTAGATGGATTCCCGAGTTGTTAATTAATTGGAGGGTTTGGAGGTTGGATTTTAATAATTATATTATGAGGATTTTCATTAGAATTCAATTCAGTTATTTTAAATTACTTCTTATTATTTCATCTTGTATTATGTGTTCATTAAAGTATTAATTGTTTGATATTTCCCTCGAGTTTGGGCCTGGGCCTGATCAACCCTTGTCTCGGATCCGAGGGGTCTCATAGTTGGTATCAGAGCACTCCAGGTTCAAGTGTCTCTAGGATTCTATCTTATAAGACTTCCGCATAGCGTTCTCTATTGTTTAGAGCTTAAGTTTAGGATTCTTTGTATTCTTTACGGTTCGGTTTAATCATACTGATGTCTGTCTTTCTGTATTGATAGAATGGTTAATGCAAAAACCAGACGGAACAATCGGCAATGAAGGGAAGCGGCCCATAGGCAGCGTCAGGAGGATGAGGGTCAGTTCCATGAGGAGCATGAGGAAGTTCAGTGGACTCGGGATCAGGGAGGAGATCCAAAGTTTCCTCCTCACCTAAATAACCTTATTGCTTAGGCTATAGAAGCAGGGGTAACTGCTGCACTCCGGAATCAGCCTCAGGTACAGCCGACACCGTTACCAGCACCGGTTGTTCAGACTGGTACTTGGGAGAAGGCCAGGAGTTCTTTCACAAAGGGGAACCCACTGACGAGGGCCGCTATCGAACGCCAAAAAAATTGATGTAGTGAATGTGCGGTTCAAGAAAAGCCTTTTGTATCAAGTTTAAATTTATAAAAACTACTACCAACACTACTACTAACGTAGTAAGGGTGAGTAGGGATCGTCCCAAGGGATTATGGGGATTGAGCAATGTCGGCATTGATTGTGGAATCACAATTAGGGCTAGTAGGTCGAGTGATCAAACAATTGGTTGGTTGGTTGATTAAAGAGCAACTAAATTAGACTAAGTAATTGAATACAATGGAAAGTAAGTAAGAGAGAGAGAAGAGTCTTGGGGTTTAGAGATCACCACCAAGCAATGCATTTCTATATTATTGACAAGTGATTAATGAGGGCAATTAGGGTGTTGCAATATTGGTGTGTGTGTATTTGGTTGATTCAACAAGCAAGGATGACTAGTTAAGCATGTATTGTCTAAACATCATGTGAAAGGCACAATATATCTAAGCAATGAAGTATATATTGTCTAAACAACATGTGAAAGGCACAATAAATCAAACCAAGTCATTAATCATTTCATTAGGCTTACAATCCAAATACAACACAAGATTAGAGACATATGCTAATTGCATTCAAAAGCTTGGATCATCAAATAACAAGCATAGATTGTCCTCCCATTT